CACCATACCAAGGCCCCTTCCACCCCCCCCACCCTCACCTCCAAGGGCCAGATTCCTTGCCCGATCCTGGTAAAAAAAATGTATCTTTGGCCTGACCTGCAGATTGGTCAAGTAGCGGAAGATGTCTTCATCACGTCGGTTGATCAAGATTGAAATTTTGGGGTGGTTGAGGAACTGATGGAGGGAGCAGTTTAGGTCAAGGAGTGACTGTTCAATGAGAGAAGGAGGGAGGGAAGGCCAGGCAGGGCAGAGCAACAGAGAGGCTGGAGCAGAATTCCCTCTATGTTTATGTGATGTGTGTGGAGCAAGTGGGTCATGGTACGTGACCCACACTTTTCTTCCCATGATACTATGCAGTGAGCCTGTGTTTATGCAATGTCAAACCTCTGTGTTAGGTTGCCTTGCCTCGGTTCGTATTTGCTGTGTGTCTGGGTGCTAAGAGTTTGTATTCAGAAGACACTGTGTTTCTGCGGGCTAAAGGTCCATGCCCAAGTGATGCTGTAACTGGTTGCCGAGGGCCTGGAGTCACATGATGTTCATTTAGGTGTCTGTGTCCACATGATATTGTGGATCTGGCTGTGAGGGTTTGTGTCCAAGTGATGCTGTGTGTCTGGGTGCTGAGGACCAATAGTCACATGATGCTCTGTGTCTGCATGCCAAGGACCCACGGCCACAAAATATGTGTGTGCCTGAGTGCTAACAGCCTGTGATCATGTGATACTTTGTAGGAGAGAGCCAAGGGTCTATATCAATGTAATTCCACCAGGAAGTTAAGCCCATGTGTTCCTAACATGTTGTATGTATGTCTGTATATGCCCCAGAGATAAGCTTTTCACCAGTAGCGAACAAGATTCTTCTTACTCTCTTATTTCCTTCATTTAACTCCTTGATCTCCACTATTTGATACTCCTTTGCCTGCCCCTTAAGGGGCTCCAGCCCCTTTCTAGTCCCCTTCTCTCCAGCCAGGATTGGGGTCTCCTTAGTACCTAAGCAGAGACCTAGCCTTGCAGAGCCAGGTGTGACTTCTGGGCAATTTCTTTGCTATGTGCCCTTCCCCTCCCTCTTCATCATTTCTGAATCAGTTCATCTTCTGTGTGTCCCTCCCCTCCTCCTTTCACCACCTCTGGTCTAATTTTTCTGCTGTGTGCCCCTCTCTTACCCTAGCCATTTCACTGCCTGTGATGTATTTTTTTTTTTAATATTACGTTCCTCCTCTCCCGTTTTCCATTTGTGGTCCAGGTTTTATGCTGTGTGCCCCTCTACCCCCTTTACCATCTCTAGTCCAGCTTCTCGGATGTTTTGCCCCTCTCCTTCCATTCCTCCTCCACCAAACCTAGTTATTTTTTCAATAGGGGTCCACCCCCATACCCTTTCTCTTCCCCCAAACCCCCCCCTTTTTGTCATGGGCTCCTGGCCCATGAATATAGATGACAAGGATACTGCTTTGACCCAGAAGCCTGGAATATGCTGGATGATGAGGTCTCTGCGCTCCAGGAAGGGTCTTCGCATCTGAATGAACTTGCGTTTCAGACGGAGGAAGGCCTTGCCTGCCTTTATGTTCACCGCCTCCAGGTCCAGTTGAATGTTTTCCAGTGCCTGCAGGATGCACTCTATCCTCTCCGCATTCCTCTCCTTGCTATCCTTCTTCACCTTCCTCTGCTTCCTCTTCCTCCTCCTCCTCCTCTTCCTCACACTCTCCTTTTCATCCTCGTCGTCATCTTCCACGATGATGATAGCTTCTTCCTTCCCCCTCGGACCGGCTAACTCCTGGTACCCCCACTCCCCTGTGCTACAGGTTTCTAGGGCCTTCTCTCCAGCAAAACTGCTGGGCTCCATAACCTGAAAGTCAATTTCCACACTTCCCCCAGAAGCCTCCGAAGGAGAGAATATTTCTAGGCTCTCCGTAGGAGGGGGCTCCCCCCCGTACCCCGACTCCATCGCAGGCTCCCAGCTGGGACTCCCAGCACCCAGGGTGAAGTACGCACGGATTCCCCCCTCCTCCAGAATGACATAGGGCGGTGGCGGGGGCAGATCGGGGCCCAGTCCCACCCCCCTCATGTCAGCCAGCACCTGTGCCGCCTCGGTTTCCTCCCGGAGCCTCGGCCGCTGCTCGGGTGGAGGTAGGGGCAGTCGCAGGAGCGGCGGCGGCGGCGGTGGCGGCGGCGGCAGCTGGTCGTGCTGAGAGGGCTCTGAGCTACTCAGGCGGCGGGCCTTGGCCGGAGGCCCCTCATCTTGGCGGTCCATGGTGACCGCGCTCACAGCTCAGGGGATCGCACTCGCCCCTTCGCTCTCTCAGCCGCCGCTGCCTGTCACACCTGAAGCTGAGCCGCAGCACCTCACGCCACCACCTCTCCTCACAGCCTCGCTCTGGCGTTCCCTCCCACAGCGCCTGTCCTACTCCCTCCGCGCCAAGTGTCCAAGACCCACCCCCTCCCTGACGTAAAGGGCCCGTTCTGCCTCTCCATTGGCTGCCAGTCCCCGCCGAGGCACTGGCTCTCCCTCGACCTCTGCCCGCTCTCACGCAATCTGCTTGCCAACACCGCACCTCATCGCTTTCCAATTGGCTCCTCTCGGGCCCGCCAATCATCGGGCTGACTCCCCCAGCGACGAGTTGGAAACTGCATGGCGATTGGCTGCAAGGAAAACTGAGGGGAAGAAACCCCTCTCCCACCCTCGCAGCGTTTTATCCAATGGGAAAAGTACCAGTGGCTCTGAAGACCAAAAAACAAAACAAAAAACAAACGCAGCTTCGGAGCAGGATGTGCTCAAATAAAATTGGGAGAGCCTCGCTATCGTTTTCCCCCTTCTCTGCCCTCCCCTCAACAACTACGCACTTCTTAAATCTGTCCCTTTCTCTATTCCCGGCGTTTGCCTCTGTGGAGATCTGAAATGTGGCCCCCGGGGCTAGGGTTGCCCTAAAGGAGCCTGGAATTTAGAAACCTAGGACCTTTGGTTTGGAACCAGATTTTTGACGTGGCTTTTTGCCTCTCTGCAAAATGGCTCTAGAAATAATCACACCCAAAAAGTAACTTCGTCTGCGTCATTAAAATGATTATGATTCCGTTCATCCACCAGATTTTTCTAGGATTTTCTCTCTCTTCGTCCACTTGATACTTGCCCTCCTTCCAATCCTTTCCTCAGTGTATGCCGCTTTTAATTGTATTTTAGATTTTGGAGGGCCAGATTGATGGTCTTTCCTTTGGCGAGGTGGTGGGGTTCTGGATTTGGTCTGGGATTCACATCACGGGTGTGCTCCTCACTTTGTAACCCTAACCAAATCACTCCCTCTCTCTGAGGGAGTGTCCTCAGAGACACTGTTTCCTCTCCTCTAAATTGGGCATCCTTAAGACATGTAGGAAACTGCCCATTGCAGCCTTTCTGTGGTAGCAGAAAATTGGAGGCAACCTAGAGACCCATCACCAGGGGTATGGATAAGAAACATGTGATAGATGTAGAAGATGGACCACTAGAATGAATTAGATCTACGTACAGCAACAAGGCTGGATCTCTCAAAAACAGAATGTTTAGCGAAAAAAGAAACAGAACAAGATTTATAGTACAATACTGTTTATGTAAATTAAAACACATAACAATACCATATATTTTTCACAGATACACATATATGTAAATAAACACATGAATGGTGAATTGGAAGGACATACATTAAATACACAAGAGTGGGTGCCTATATGGGAGGGGGTATTGGATCAGGGATGGGTGATGAAGGGGAAGAAACAAAACAAAACAAAGAAGAAAAGGGACTCGCATGGACCAACGATGATGTAGTGTGCCAAGAACTGAGGATTATGGTCAACTCAATTCTGTGCACCTGAGAGAATAAGTAAATAAACGGTAAATTGAGTGCCCAGGGAGCAGGCTAGCTGGATAGACTCCCAGGCTTGGCTTCCCCTCCCGCCCCCCATAACATCCCTCCTCTAGATTTAGTCAAAGCTTACCAAAGTCCCAGATGTATACAGTGTACACTTCAGAAGGGCTCCCATCCCAGACTGAGCAGTCCCTCCAGAAGCCATTACTTGTAGGGGACATTTTCTAACCCCGTTATTTCCCCCATTCAAGTTTGATCCCCAATTCCCAGTCCTTAGTCTCCAAAGTGGTCCACTTTCAGGAACACTTTGTTTGCGTTTTGGGGAGGAGACTGACACAGGAATTGGATGGAACCCAGGGCGCTCCAGGCTATGGGAAGATATAGGGTTCTCAAGTATCCTGTCCCCCATGTTCAGAGCCTGGGCCAAAGGAGTAAGATTTTACAAGATGGGAGTCTACCCTCTTGCTGCATACATATGTATGGCTCTAAAATTCTATTCTCCGACCACTCTACTTCCTACTGCAGGCACTCTAGTTTGTCTCCTTTCAATTAGGTGCATACATGTACGTGTGTGTGTGTGCCATATGTCCCCACATACAGGCATTTGCTCACATGTGTGCACCAGGCAGTGGTGCCTACCCACACAAAGTCACACAGACACAGTCCCACTTGACCATACCTCCCCACATGTGGTCATGCAGACAGGACACACACACACACACACACACACACACACACACACAGAGTCAGAAAGAGAAGACATCCAATATAGCGTTGTTCTTTTCAGTTTTCCATTTACAAAATCCAATGGTGAATCCAGGCAGATAGAAAAAAGAAATGGAGGAAAACCCTCCAGAATGTACCCTACCTACTCCCACCCCTGTGGTTCCCCCCCACCCCACTCCCTGGGAAAGGCACCCCCATCACTATCACTGAGAGAACAGGTACCCTCCACCCCAGCCTCTCAGCCACTCTGGCCTGCCTTTCCAGGGTCACTCCACAGCCAGGCTCATTAATGTCTCTCCTGCCTAGAGTGCCCTCCCCATTCCTCTTGGGTCAAGTCTTCCCCAATTCTGGGGCTGTCTTGGGGGTAGGAAAAGAGCTTAGGACAACAGCTTCTATCGGGAAGGGAAAGAAGGATAGATAAATACAGATCTCCCCCTCCCCCAAATGGGGGGGGGGACAAAGAATCTGGGCAAGGCCAGGCAAAGGAATGCCAGCTTGGCTCACCAGTCCATAAGAACTGGCAGTGATGTGAGCCCAGAGTGGACTCTGCCCTGGGAGGGAGGCTTGGGCTCTCCCACCTGGAGAATCTGGCTGCAGTCTGCTCCATTTTGGGTGGAGGGAAGAAGAGGGAGAAGGGCTGTTCTGGGAAAGGAAGTTGGGGGCTGAGGACCCAGAAGGCCTAGGGCTACCAAGAGGGGCTTGAGACAGACCCCCCGAGGCTTGAAGGGGACCAAACGAGGTCAAATAGGAATGGACTCAAGTCCACAGTGCCTTGGAGCTTATGCCATCCCTCAACTTTTCATCCTCAGGAGAATAGTGTGAACCCAGGAGACAATTCTGGGGCTGAGTTCTGCTCTGACCCAGGCACTGGGATCCAGTTACTCTGGGGAGTTTTGCTCTCTTCCTACACTTCCCTGGGGGAATGCACCTGCCTATATGGCACCCACATCAACCCTAGCGAGGCTGGAGTGGATTTCCATCCTCAGGAAGAAGAGTTGGGGACTGGGCATCCAGGAGGCAGCTCGAAAGAATGCAGCCAAGCTCGGGTCTCTTCAGCTCGAGGCGTGCAGCTCACATCCCATTCTTCACCTAGCATGGACCCATCCCAGTGGTCCTTCTCCCTCCCCTCCTGACTTCTTGAACAGATGCTCAAGAAACACTTGGGAGGTCTGGACATGGTGGGGAGGGAGAGGAAACCAGGCTTGGGACCAGGGTTAGCTTAAAACAACATCGCACACAACATAGCAATTAAACGTCTCTGCTCCCGGGGGACCCAGCACCCTCTTTGGTCCCTGTTGTCAGCAGATGAATTTCTCCCTCAACATCCAGCCCTTGCTAAAGGACTCGGAAGGGGAGGGTGCATGGGAGCAGAGGGGGCAATAAGAGCTCTGGAAGTCTATTTTACAGAACAAATTTCCCCCTTCTGGACAATGTCAGAAGGAGAGACATTAAAGCAAGAAAGCCCGTCTCCTCAGCTGTTAGTAGAAAAACCTGCATTTTCAGTCTTAATTTCTTTTTCTGAATTGTCACTTCTGAGAGAGAAAGGAAGAGAGAGAAAGAGAGAGAGAGAGGAAAGGAGAGAGATTGTAGAAGTGGAGAAGGAGGCAGCGGAGACAGGCCCCACAGAATTAGAAACGCCTCTTTTCTAGTCCCCCACCCCAGTCTCCAACCCTGGGGAGGTGTCGGCAAAGATGCCTAGATTCTGGGTGGTTCGAGGGGCTAGGGCTGGAGCTCAGAAAGAAAGGCTCCTGTATGGGGCCCACCCTTCCCTTACTGCTGGCTCCATCACGGTAGCCATGACCATCTCCCTGCCTGTCTGTCTACCAGCTTGCTTCACATAACACAGTAGGGTTCTCTGGGAGCCGGGGCACCTCCTGTTCCCCAGCAAGGGGCGTGAGTCCTCAGGCACTTCTTGAGGTCCTTGTTGAGCAGGAAGCAGACGATCGGGTTGACAGCAGCCTGGGCGAAGCTCATCCAAACAGCAGTGGCCAGGTAACGGTGGGGCACGGCACAGGCTTTCACAAACACTCGCCAGTAGCAGGCCACAATGTAGGGTGACCAGAGGAGCAAGAAGAGCAGTGTGATCGCGTAGAACATACGGCCCAGCTGCTTTTCACCCTTGACCTCGTCCATGCCCAGCAGCCGCCGGCTGGCTGCGTGCCCATTCTGCCTAATACCCAGCAGGGTTGGTGGCATGGGCCCACGGCCAAAGCCAGCGATCCAGTTGGCAGCAGCCTGGCCGGTGGCCCCAGGGCCATGGAATGTCCAGTTCTGGCTGATGGCTGGCACCATCTGCACTGGCTTCATCTTGCGGTGACGATACTCGAAGAGGAGCAGCTTGCCATAGACAGCATGTGTAGCTGCCATGAGCACAGCCAACATAAGCATGAAGCCCAGCGTGTCATTGGCCTTGAAGTAGCGATGCTCAAAGATGCACTGGTCCTCCTCACGGATAAATTTGTAGGTGCCCACATCAAAGACGGGTGGGAAGGCCATGGCCACAGATAGGGTCCAGGCCATGCAGATGACAGCTGCGCATGTCCAGAGTGTCATGCGCTTGGCGTAGAAGCGGTGGTGGGCGATGGCCATGTAGCGGGTGACGCTGATGCAGAACAGCATGAAGGCCGCATGGAAGCAAAAGAGCACGGCCATAAAGGCCACAATTTTGCAGCTGAGTGCACTGAAGGTCCATGAGGAGCCGTGGCGCACAGAAGCCAGCACAAAGGGGAAGCAGACGGCAGAGCGTATGCCGTCGGCCAGGCACAGGTCCAGCAGAAAGTAATAAGGAGCCTTGTGCAGGGCACGCTCCTTGAGCACCAGCAGCGACAAGATGGCGTTGCCCGCCAGGCTTACACACATGATCAGTCCCAGCAGCACCAGTTTCACATAAGCTGATGCTGATGGCGGGGACAGTGCGCCGCTCACCTCTTCGGGCTCTCCAGTTGTGTTGGCCATACTGAGGGGCAGGGGCTGCTCCCAACCCTATGGGATCAGCCAGTCTGGTATTCGATGGGTCCTGGGGGACTCCATCAGTTGTCCTGCTGGGCTGCACCTGCAAATGGGGATAATGGCGGAGATGCAGACATAGAGAGAGAGATGATGGCAGGAGAGAGCCAGAGAGAAAAACCCAGACAGAGGCACAGAGAGTAAGAAATGATAGAACGAAATGAAAATGGTGACAAAGATATAAATGGATACAAATTGAGAGGCAAATATGGGGATGAGAATGAGCAGAGATAAGAAGAAACAGAATCAGAAAGACAGGGAGAGAGGGAAAGGAAGGGGAGAGAGAGAGAGGGAGGGAGGGAGGGAGGGAGGGAGGGAGGGAGGTGGAGGGAAGATAGAAAGAAACACAAGAAAAAGAGACAGCGAGATACAGATGGAAAGGTGAGGAAGAAAGAGAAAGGGCAGCGTTAGTGGGTCTACATGGCCTCCACATTTATTCCCCGGCTGGTGTCAGGTTCTGCCCCTGGCCCACTCCTGCTCCTGCTCCTACCTTCTCCTTGCTGGGTGAGGAGGCTGTTTCACCTCTCTGGACGTTCTCCTTTACCTGTTTCCTCCATTGGTGGGTCTGTGGGGCAGCGGAGTTGGTGCAGCTCTTCTCCCCCTTTGCAAAGCCCTAAAGTTATGTTCTTCAAACTTTTTTGACTGCTACCCATAGTAAGACAAACATTTTACATTACAACCTCGTACACATACACATACGTGCGCACATAACTGAACCAAAAGTTTCACAAAACATGACTGACCCTCTCTGTAATGTACTCCATTAGTTCTGTTCTATTTCACGATTTTTTGTTAATGCTGGTAGCCAGCCATTAAATGAGCTTTCTTGTTCATGATCAGGAATGCACTTAGCACGCTCAAGAAAGAGTGGGAAGACCAGTGTGGTTGGAAAAGGGAAGGCAGGGGAGACAGCGGTATAAAGTAGGGAGGGGTCTGGAGCCAGATTCTATAGGGCTGTGGGCCATGACATGGACTTGGTTTGTTTGTTTGTTTTTTTAAAGATTTTATTTATTTGACAGAGTGAGACACAGCGAGAGAGGGAACACAAGCAGGGGGAGTGGGAGAGGGAGAAGCAGGCTTCCTGCTGAGCAGGGAGCCTGATGCAGGGCTTGATCCCAGGATCATGACCTGACCTAAGCCAAAGGCAGACACTTAACGACTGAGCCACCCAGGCCCCCCGGACTTGGGTTTTTATTTTAAGTGGGGCAGGAAGTATTGTGACTATAAAGATGTGAGTGTGCTTGTGTGCATTCATTCATTGAAAAACGATTTACTGAGCATCTACTTGTGCCAGCCACTGGGGCCGCAGCTGTGAACCAGATAGAAAAGGATCCCTGCCCCTACGGAGCTGATATTCTAATTGATAAAAAGACATATAGGTGGAGTATAGTAGGTCAGATGATGATAAGTTCCTAAAAAGAAAAGTAAAGGAGGGAAAGGGGTTAGGAAGTCCCAGGGGTGGAGGAGGTCTACTTTTAGATGAAATGGACAGGGAAGGCTTCATGGAGGAGGTGTCATCTAAGCAAAGACTTAAAGAAGGTGAGAGTGAGCCATGTGGGTATTGGAGAGAAGAGAAGTCCAGGCAGAGGGAACAGCTAGCACAAATGCCCCGAGGTGGAATCACATGTGGTGTATTTGGGGAAGAGCAAGGAGACCACTATTCCTGGAACGGAGTGAGTGATCAAAAAGCAGTGGGCGGTAAGATCAGAAAGGTGGTGAGGACAGATCATGGAGGCCATGGTGAGGACTTTTACTTTGAATGAGATGGGAGCCAAGGGAGAAGAGGTGAGGTGTGATATGACTTGGGGTTGAAAAGGATCCCCCTTGCTGGTATGAGGAGCACAAACCAGGTGGGGCAAAGGTCTAAGTAGGGAGACTACATAAGAGACTCCTACAGTAATTCAGGTGAGAATCAACAACACTCTGTGACCCTTGCCCTGCTTTATTTTTCTTCGTAGAACTTACCTCTTCTAATGCATTATATAATTTACTTAAAATTCAGTTTATTGTCTGCCTCTCCCTATTAGAATGAAAGCTCCACAGGACAGGGATTAGAGTCTCAGACACTCTCCTCTAGAAGAGCAGTGCATAGCACAGTAGGCCCTCAGTCACAGGCTGTCAGATCAGTTGGTTGAGGGACTAAAACAGCTGGTGGCTCAGGGAGGGCTGCCTGGAGGCATCCAGGTAGGATTTGCTGAAAAAGCAGCCTGGGCAGTACAGGAGTGGGAGGGCACAGACAAAGCTTGGTGGCGGGGGGCAGGGGGCAGGGGGCGGGGGGCAGCAGGGCTTCTGGTGTGTGTGGACCAGGGGCACGGGGGGAAGGAGTGTGATGATGTAACATGGTAGGTTCCAAAGGGAAGGCAGCAAGCTGGAGAAGCTCAGAACTTTGGGGGCTGGGATGGGCTTGAGGTTGAGGGACACGGGGCTGAGTGGAACCATTCTACCTTCTCTCTCCCAGGAAGTCACCCCTTGGTATTTTTTCCCAGATTGCTCCAACATGGCCTGCCACAGCCACCTGGGGCCAAGCTTTTTCATGGCACCCTGAAGTCTCAGACACAGTGCCAAAAGGCCATAAGAAGATCCTAGGGCAGGGGCTTGGGAGATGTGGGGTTCGTGGGTCCCCTTTCAGCCCCCTCAAGGCCTGATAGCTCCCACAGAACTGCGGACCAGCTGACAGCTGGGTGTGCGTAAATGTGTACATACATACACACACACACACTCCTCAGCCTTGAGGGGAAGCAGGGGGAAAGCGTTAGAGACAGAGAGAGATTGAATATAAAAGAGAATCAGAGAAGCACACAGAGAGTGACAGAAGAGAGAGGTTTGTGAGAAAGAGACTGAGACATAGGAGGGAGAAGGGGAAAAATAAACAGAGAAAGGGGACCAGGCCTTCTACACAAACAGGAAAAGACAGAAATAGAGACAAAGGAGGAAGAAGAGTGAGGGGGAAAAAGAGAGAGAGACACACATAGAGCATGAGAGAAGAAAAATAGAGACAGAAAAGTAGAGACAGAGAGAGAAAAAAAGAGAGACAGGAGAGAGAAAGAAAGAGAAGAAAGTGAGAGAGACAAAAGGAGAGAGGAAAGAAGGGAGGGAGAAAGAGAGATACAAAGGGAGAGAGATAGGTGAGGGATAATGCCAGGAAAGAGAAGAGAGAGATAAAGAGACAGGTTGGGAGAGAGGCAGAGATAGAGACAGAGAGAAGCAGAAATAAAGATGGAGAGGGAGACACAGAGAAACACACTAAGATCCAGAAGGTGGATAATTTGCAGCCCAGAGTCTCAGGGAAAGCAAACCAAAGCAAACCAAACCAAACACACACTAAAATGAAACAAAACAACACAAAACAATAGCAGCAAACGAACAAAATCCTGGTGTTGCCTAGAAAGCTGGGGCGACTCTACAAGTGAGGAGAGGGTTCTGAGCAGACTGGCAGCCACAGCTTGGGCCCATTCTAGGCTAAAAGTGTGAGCAGACGCAAACACATACATACTTGCCTATGCCCCAACGCCCTAAGAAAGGTATGTAGACAACTACACACACGCTCACACAGACACATAGGATCCTGTTGTGGAGACCTACGGACAACAACCGGCTCACACACAGGGACATCACCTCATACGCACATGCACACACGGTATATGTTCGTCCACAGGCAGAGTATAACCTGCCTAAATGCCAGGGCATCGTCCTCAACATAGGCATTACTGCCCCCTAGGGGACACCTTGGAAATCTGCAGGAGCATTTTTGGTTGCCACAAGGCTGGGGTGCAGGATGTACTTCTAACATTTAGGGGTCCAGGGCAAGGATGCTGGCCATCCAGTGATGTGTGGGGCGGTTCTACACACTCAGCATATGTCCCGAATCCCCTAGGACTTTGGGCTTGTAATGAACTGAAACTTGAATCTAAGAACTCTATTTCACAAATTTCCCCCTAGTTTAATATACCCTGAATTATTCGGGAAAATAGCTGTCAACTAAGTCCAGAGGAGACTGCACTTTGTTTGGGAGAGCACTTTCTTTGAGTTGTTAACTGTTTCGGAAAATATTACCCCTAGGCCTTTGCCCGTCATTTTCCTGCACTTTGAGCAAGGGGCAAGTTTTTGGTTTTTCCCCTTCCAAATCCACATTTACTCGTAAGATGTTACAAGCCTCTAACTACCTTATTGAATTTCCTGAGGAGTTTCATGCTCAAACCTTCACATATCAAAATACAAATTACTACCTTATAAAAAATAAATTTATTTGTATTAGAACTCAGAAAACATGCATATCATATGAAATACTGTATGGATTTTCTTTTGAAATTATATGTGCAGAAAGATTATATTATCTAAGAACTTCATGTTTATATAGTAAATGGGTGTTACAAAATATGGTATGTAAAATAGGGTGTTAGGTATGAGGGCGCTGAGAACTGCTCATATACACGGATACACTCAGACACACACACATGTGCAATGGCTCATAAACCCACAATTGTAACTCCCCTAACACACATACATACATACACACACAGATGAACACTCAAATCCTGACAGATAGTTACACATATGCAAACCTACTCACACAGAGACTCATATATACAATCTACCTAATTATTTAAATCCTCTCACATAATCAGAAAAACTTCTGTGACACAAGCATGTACACAGTGACATACCTATATCATCACATACAAAAACTGTTACAAAATAATACTCAAAGTCACTTACATATGTCACCATACTCACATGCATTTGAAACTCGGCACATGCACACACACACACGTATGTACACACAGACAGAATCCCCCTCAGATATCCACAGATATATTTGCATAGAGACAAAAACAGACAAGCAAAAACTGTTCATATATACACACACATACATACTCTAACACACTCTAACACACAGAGCCCAACTGATCCAAACCCTTTCACATAAATTAGGCACGCTCACCAAAACAGACAAGTACATCCTGGCACAGGTACACAGATATCCATTCGTGTACATACTCACTTGTGCAGAGAAGTATACCAGCTCCAACACACACACATACACAC